GATGTGTGCTGTTGTGGTGCAATTCCGTCGTCCCCATAACGTTGGATAAAATCGGGGAGATTAAGTAAGGGCGCTCACAGCAGAACTTTATGCGGCATCGCAGGTTTCCATGCGATTGATCTCATGAAACCTTGACCAAAATTCTGAACTGCGTTTTCGATTAGGAGGGTTTACTTAACTGCGGCTGTTATATCTATCATGCTGCTGCATAATCACATGATATTTCGGACACGCTGCTTTCGAATTCGCGCATTCTTGGCCGCCTGCGAAAACCTTAAGTGTTAAAAAAACTATTTGAGTAGTATGCGTTTGTTTATATTACCTTTCGTTGCCCTTATAAGTGTACATGTATTTAGAAAAACAGGGTTGGACTGTCTTCGGAGGTCCTATTTACCTTTGACTTATAGTAATATATTACTTTTACATTTTCATTAGCCCGACTTTCCATTTTTTCCGTTAAATTCCGCCAAAATTGGGTCGAATTTCCATCAATAGACATCAGTTGTCTGAGCAAAAGGAGTCTATGTTGATGAAATTGACTATATTTAGCTCATTATACATTTATAAGTAGCTTTAATTTAATATTCTTTGATCACTTTCAACACAATTTAACATGCATTTATACTCGTTAACCAAGAATTAAATGTTTAACCACAAATTCCGTAAGACAGTTGGGCGGGAAGAATATATATTTAGGCGGCCCCACAAGACAGTTTTGCCCAAAGCAGAAATAAAAATATGCTTTCTGACGCCCATTTGGTAGAATATCTTGTCTTCTGTTCATTTGATGCTGAAAAGAAGAGTATTTTAAGTTAAAAAAAAACGGCTTGTATTTCCTGGATAATTTTGAGTTCTGTCAGCCATCGCGTTTGCGTTTAGGGTCCTTTAGTCTACAAGCTGTAAGGTTTCTGTCTAGGTAAAAGCATAGCTTGCTTCATGCCATTAAGAAAACACTGCTTAGCGTTGATGACATTTTGCATTGAGTGTGAGCTCTGTTGTATACTTAATGAGGGGGGAGAATAAACGTACAGATACAATCGTATTGTAATAGGGATTTTGCGGTCTTAAAATATCTCATATTTAAGAACTTGTTAGAAATCCCCATATTTAATGCCTTTGAGTATAAAATTTGAGAAATATGTGATTTTATATCAAGTGAGGAGAAATATATTTTTATGGATTTCCTTTCTAAAGTATATTTAACTTTGTAAGGGCGTCCAACACCCAATAGGAAAAAAATACGGCGAAACTGTCTTGTAGGGCTCCCTATATATCTATTTCCCCAACCAACTGTCTAAAGTATTTTGTGGTTAAGCATTTAATTCTTGGGTAGCTAGAGTAAATAAATATTTAATTGTGGTGGAAGTGATCAAAAAATATTAAATTAAAGAAACTTATATTTGTAGTAAATAAAATAAAGTCAACTATTAGTAGCTTTGCGGAGCACAATCGGTTGATCCGACTCGCAAAAGCATTATCCCAGGATGGGCACATCCTGAGGAACAGATCGGTGCACAAACAAATAAAATAAAGTCAATCAACATAAACTCAGGATACTGATGCCAATTAAGGGAAATTCAACCTCATATTATCGGAATTTAACGAAAAAAGGGAAAGTCGGGTTACTGAAAATTTAAAAGTGGGTATTGCTATAAATCAAACTCGAAAAACACCTCTAAAGACAGTCCTGTCAGAAATACAAACTGCTTACGTAGTCCCTCTTTCCAGACATGTTTTGCGCCGGCCGTGGAAGGGATACATAATGTGCTTATACTGCATGTTGATCGATACCACAAGTTTACTTCCGTAATCCTTCCTAGGGATAAAAAATATTTGAGCTTTTCGGTTCACGCTTTATGAGATCGGTCACTGGCTTTTCTCGTGTATGTGTCAGCGCGCCCTAAACCCGAGAGTGGCTGCGCCCAATCGG